GCAGTGCTCTCTTCTGCATGTATTTGCTTCATTCACTTTAAAGACTTTTAGTAGTTCCTGCAAAGGACTGTGCAAACCAGCGCAGAACCCTTCATCCATCACAGACACTCAACTGCGTCTGGGTGAACCATTGAGAACATTACATAGCAGGTGGGGGCAATTGGAGACCCTTCCTCATAGCTGAGTGTAGGCAGGGAATTTAGCTTGCCAGAAGAGACCTATCCAAGTGACCCAGACAGTACGTGAACCTTCCTATTCTTGCAGAAGCTGATTTTTCACTGCCCCGTATGATCTAGGATTTGGTTTTATGCTTCACCAGGAGGAAGCCATCGCTTTCTACTAGTTGATAGCCCTGATACCATGCTGGAGCTTCTCTTACCAAGTGACCGAGTGAAGAGTTAAAATCGCAGAGCCAGTTTTCTGCAGCGCCCTGCTGCTTCCTTGATGTCTCATTGATCTGAACTAACCAGTTTAGTATGGGCGGAGGATCTGGCTCAGAGGCTATAGATAGCTGCTCAGCTTCTGCAGCACTGACAGGGATAAATGGTCCCTGGGAGAGGAGGACGTTTAGTCATCTCCTGAGGATGATTTGATGGACGTGAGTAACTACCGAGTCTCAAGACCTCTGTCCATGTTGGATCATGCTAAAGATACTTCATATCTTTGATAGGTTGTAACGTACAGATCATTTTGGACGGCTTTTTCTTTTGAAGAACGTATTCTCCTAGCATTGCCCTGTGCACGGAGGGGCAGGCACAGATTATGTCTCCCTGAGCCCTCACAACGCAGTAGGGACTGAGAAGGACCACCCCAGATTTCAGAGGGTCCCTGTGCTAAGCCACTTCTTTCCCTGACTGCTTCATACAGCAGCAAGGTGGCCACGAAGAGACGATGTAGAAATGAAATGTCACATTTCACAGCTGTCATGGCCAACTTGGGCTGGAAAATGTTCCTTGTGTATGCATCTAGGCTGTGATGCTCAGCCACTCCAAGGAGTCCTGCTTTGCTGAAGAGGGTGTTTCCCAAGGCTGTAGCTGATTTTTCACAAGCAAGTTTGTGCACTGGCCAAGGCTGCTGACAGCTCAATATTCAGCTACAGAATATAATTTTCTGTCATTTTGATTTATGTTCTTCTGTGCAACCAGAGTCCCACGTAAAAAAAAAAAAAAAAAAAAAAAAAAAAAAAAAAAAAAAAAAAAAAAAAAAATTGGAAGGAGTTTATCTTAAAGTTAGCTCAGTGCAAGTTTATTCTTCAGCTGACCTAGCAAATTAAAGATATTTTTAGACTTTTTCATTTATTTATTTCTGGAATATGAAACAGAAAAAAGTAACCTCAGCTGTCAGTGTTGTGACCCACAGTTGTGATGTCTGCCACCATGCAATGCCAAAAGAGTCATTGGCATCGACAGAGAAGCGAAGCAAGATCTGCTCTTGGCTGAAGTTTCCACCTGCACCCGGTGGCCCTGTCCAGGGAGGCTTTGATACACCGAAGCAACACCCAGGACGTCAGGGCCAAGCTCCAGAGCACAGTGCTCCACTGAAGGGTATCTTAAAACTCTCAGTAACTGGGGGTTTCTCCTGGGAAAAAGCCCGAACCTCTGGGGGAGGTGCTGGCGTAGAGCCACGGTCTCCGCTCCCTTTGGACGGCCCAAGAAGGGCTCATCTTCCAGCCTCTTGGGTTTGCCCGCAGGCTTTATGGCAGAGCTCTCTTCTACCTCGCTTCTGGCACCCAGACTTGGGCTCCTGAATTGTTTTGCTGCATTTGGAGCATTGCTTTTGGCATTAGTGTTGGGGGATTATTGCTTGCAGTTTCCTTCTGACAGATGCTTAAAAGAGCAACGCTGAGCTGGGGCGGCGGGGGGAAAGCAGCGCTTGGCTGTTGGTGTGCAGTTGTGTGCGTTACGAAGCGTTCTGCGAGACAAAGGACGAGGCCACATGAAACAGGGCGGCACTGACAGGAATCAAAGCTCCTAGCACAGCCCTAGGAAAAGGCAAGAGAGCAGGGAAGTGTGTTTTATCCCAGCTCTCTGCTTTCCTACAGAATTCAGACAATTTTATTTCCTGCATTTCCCCCCACTTAGCAGCGATGAGCATACAGGTAATCTAAGACATATGACGTGTCTCTGAATTATAACTCCAAAATGTGCCGTGGGCTGAAACGAAGTACGCTTTCCAGCCCAGGGGTAGGGATGGCCGGCATGGGGACAGCGCGGTGCCATGGGGCCGGTCCCCACCATGGGAGGAAAGCGGGGTCCTGGCAGGGGAGGCACCTGCTG